TCCAGCGCTGTGTTTGTATAATATTTTGTCTCACAGTACGTTTCAAAAGTCAAGTTGTTTATTATTATTATTTTTTTTTTTTTACCAATAACACAACCGTTCGTTCGGAGGGAAAAAGGATATCCGCCTATACGGTTTGTGAACCACATACCATATTTATGTTATTTTTATGGTACAATAAGTAAGTCGGAGTTGAAGTAAACAATTATAGAACCGAGTTTTGAGTGTATCTTTTAGTCTAGACAAAGAAAATGGCCACGCGTGTTTGTTCATTAACGGACGGCCGAACTAGCCCTCCGCTACCCGTTTTCCCTTTTCATGTGTTCGTCTGTTGCACAAACTGCGAGTACTCGTAATCCGCTTTACTTTGCCCAGTGAAATGTACACTCCGATGTAATCGGATTTATGTCCATCCGAACATTTCATTGCATTCAACGGAATATCAATATTTATAAGTTTGGAAAGAAACGATACTATTTTATGCGCATGATGGTATTTTTTGTTTGCCGAAAGCGAATAATTTTCTCTTAATCAAAAATTACGGCATACAAAAATGTCATACTCTAAAATTGTTGTAGTATTTTTTTTTTTTTTCAATACCCGGAAGAGAATTTAATTTAGTTTTTACGCGTACCTTGTGTGAAATGAAATAATTAGACATTATGTATTCTTACACACTAGTGTTGTGTCCGATCAGGTGTGTATTGAACGCACTAATATGTAATAACGTGTGGCGAAAGCGGTGGGCCTCTCCAAAGAATATACACGTCGTGTTGTAAACCTCGACAAGCCACTTACTTTCTAATAGTAAACGGTTTCTATTTGTCTACGACAAATAACATAGTCGATATTTTTTATTCGCATTTCTCCTCTCGTCGTCAAATGCAATTTTGCATCAGATGGACCCGTGCGGTTTTTCAAGTTTTTCACAGCTGCACACGTCAGGAAACATGTCTGTTTTCGACTTGTCGCTTGTTACATTCAATTGTGTAAACAAGTGTTTAGAATTTTTAATTTTACTGTCGTATGTTCTCAACAACTTCAAAGAACGTGTTCCGCTCGCGCAGCCAACACCTTTATCAGATCATCTCGTTACAGATTCTCATTTTCACTATCAATCACGTTTGTTATACTATTTTCATCCGTCACAATGTAAAGGTGTAATAATCATTAATTAAATCATCGCCGGTTAACGGAGAAGAGATGCCCGTGACGATGAAATGATCGTCTGATGTTGTAACGTTAACTACTTAAATGAAAAAACGGAATTTTTCATATATCGTTGACGAACAATTTGTTTTTTTTTTTCGTGGCGTTTGAGGTTATGTGAATTAGTCTATTCACGTACAAGTTGTCCATACAGTTTACTCGATTCGATACTTAATGACTACTCAAATCTTACTAATGCGTTGATGTAATGTAATTATTGTCTTGGGGCTTATAAAAAAAATCGTGTAAGTAATGATTTTGTGTCTGAAATTTACGTATGTTGTTAATTGTGACTGGTTTTCTTTTCATATGAGATTTCTCGAATCCTACATTCGTGTTTATGTCCAACCAGAGTCATAATTCATAACTCCAAAGCTTTCGTTATTTTCCCTTTTATATGTGTTTGTCAATGTAATATTTTAGCCAAGCATTTCACTGTCTCACAAATCGTGACTTTTAATTTAATAAAATTGAATTAGAAAACTGTCATTCAGTTACTCTTTGCCGTGTATCCTATACCCAATCACGAATATTTATTGGTTGTAATTGAATTATGTTTTTTTTTTTTATTGATAGAGAAATTCTGCTGATAATAATTACTCTCTGTTTCTAACAGATAGGTGAACTAAATAGACATTGTGATGTGTTGTAATCATTGTTTTCCAATCGTCGCAAAAGTCATTAGTTTTGTTTGTTCCGCGTACCATGTCGGCGTTCCGATTTGACACAATGTCGGAAATGTTCTTTGATTGAATTTTTAGAATTGTGTTTTTTTTTTCACCGGAATTGTATTTAATACGCAATGAAGCATCAAGAGTTTTTGATGCCCAAAGTTTGTGGTTTTATTTTTGATGAGTGCACATCAGTTCAACAAACGTTTAACGGATTAGTTGTGTGTAAAATCCATTGGCCGTATAGTTAGATATTTAAAATTTAGTTATCGGTAAACATGTAAACTAGCATGTTTATTTTTAAAAATTGATGAGGTGCGTCGTTACGTTGACGAAATCATTAGACTTTTTTTTTTTGTTTCATTGTTTTTGTTGCGCATAATTTTTATGGAAATTTATAAACAGCGTTAACATGTGCACTTTAGTAGTACGAACAAAGCATTCCTGAGACGTTGGTTTCTATCGTTGTCGGGTGCTACTAAATACCGCGTTACGTTCCTCCTGAGATTAAGCTGCTGGTTAAATGACGACGAAGACGCTGTTAAGTTCAATTGACCTGGCGGTAGTCCACCGAACAAGTTGCATAATAATTGCCCTGCGAAATTACATGCTGATGATCAATGTACAATGATTACAAGAAGCGTGTAAGATTACTCTCAAAGTGACACCTGTCACTATAAAACACCCATCAGTGTCCTAACGGCCGTTGGAATACCAAATTTACCGTCAATTGGTATAATGTACTCGGCGAAAAAAAAAATAAGTTTCTCTCTCTCTCTCTTACGTCATTACGTTGTTCAATAATACTTTTAGAAGGCTCCTCGCGTACGTAAATCGAATACATTTCACCGTGTTATTAAGACAGTATGTAGGACAGAGCTCGTTATTTCTCGTTCGTACTGCCAATGTAAACGTCAATATTTACATGCGTGTGCAACTTAGCGTCACCCATAACGTGTCGTTCCAATAATATCGACTCATTTCTTTTGCGTGTCGTCATACTCTTCGGTTCTAAACTCTATTCTGCTGCCCGTGTTCGGAATAGGTTTTCCATTCACGCGGTTTTCCAGCGCGTACATACATACCCACGTACATAAATACATAATAATGCGATACCGTCGAATAGTAGTCGGCCATCGGTACAGAGTAGTTTTATTACTGCCGATCGACGGCGGCCGAATGCGTTGCACTCTGTTCGTAGATAATACGTTCGCATTTAAACGGACGGGCCGCTGGAGAGGTGCCGAGGGAAAGGCGATGGTACGACGTGGCGCGCCGCGGAATTCCACTGGAAACTATGCGGATTGTTATAACGGAATCGCTGTCGGTGACTCTGTCGGTACGTGTTGTTTTCCTGTGATAGACTCGAGTTGCGGACATTTTCTGGACACACACACACACACGCCAATCGGAGAAAACAAAAATTTCTTTTGGCGACGTTGCAAGTAAAAAATAACAATGCACGCGGCGCTATTGTACTCCGGTCAATATCTCTGTACACCGGTGCAAGGTTGTTACGATAACGGCACGGGTTCTTCGTGCCGACGTATCACCGAAATTGCTAAAAAACAACTTTATTTTTGCAGACTTATTCGAAATTGATGTCACGACATTTAAAGGGATAACACGTTGTAAATTAAGGTCGTATCTCATAAGATTGTACAGTCGGCTGCGATCACGTTGTTTGTACAACAAAATTTGTGCTAATTTACAATTGAATTGAATGTACCGAGATGGTTCTCTTGTTACAAACAATTATTGCCGGCCGTTAGGTTTTATTGCGTATTTTCCGAAATTAAATATTATTTCACTGGATAGGTAAAACAAATTATTACTGTGCGAGAATGGAAAAATACGTTATGATTATTCGAAATGGCCCATTTACATTTCTTGTTAACTCGTTTTCATTTTTCTAACAAAATTACCGGCAGTATTTTTCCAACGCGGCCAACAGTTATGTAATGTTAATTTCGGTCGCTCCCCCACGTCGGCCAGACTCGCCTATTAGTCCTTTTTCGAATATTCTGACAACAGTCGTTAATGCCACCCATTCATTCGAGTCATTGAAATTATAAACGTTTTTGACGGCGTACATGGAATAATAATACATTCCAGTGTATATTATTTATAGCTTTTGAAAAACAAAAGTAAACAAGAGAAAAAATCGAGTCTCTGTGGTCAACGACAAACGGACAAACCGTCCAGTTGACGTGTTTGATATACTAGTCCGTTGTGTGGGACTCGATTTCCACGAAGTATTTTTGTTGTGTTTATTAATTACAGATAGTTTGCCTATATATATATAAAAAAAAAAATGCTGCCACGACTGAATCATTTGTTATCTGGACGGATAACGACCGCCAATAGAAGAACATCTAAAATATTATGCAATGTCACCCGTGTGAGTGTGTTATGCAGTCTATAAACCACCCGCTGTAACGGCTGTTGTTGTAAAACATTCGTTATTTAATTATTGTTGTTATATTTACCGATAAAACGGTTACAGTTTAACAATCAAGTACAGCGGTTGCGTTCGTGTTGTTTTTCACTACAAATAGAGTTTCTAATTGACAACCAAAAAGTGAACCTTGTAAATCAACGCTGCACCGATGGGGGGGCCACCGCGTATTATTATACGGTTTTCAATTATTTATGCGGTCGTATTTTTCTGGTCATCATTTGATTCGCGAATTCCTCGTCACACATCGCAAACAATCGATTCGTTACCTTGTACGAGGAGTTTCATATTATAAAAGTTTCTCCACATTAATCAGTTTAATTGTGAAAATATTTCAATCTTACGGTTTTTAACGAAAAATATGTCGTCGTCATCATCTGATAAAGAAGACATTTGCTGGGCAAAATACTGTTGACGTGTGAAGTTTTTTCTCCTTTCATAAAATATTTTTCAGTATATTCTATTAATTATTGTACTATTTTCTTTCGCATTGTAATTTTGATAAGCCAAATTTATTGTTTTGGTATTACAAAAAGGAAACGGACGTTTGAGTACCAATTTGTTGTCGGCCGCACCGACGCAATGGACGGCACGCGGCTTGAGCATGCTCGCTGCGCCTCAACTGCCTAATAATAACAACACCGTACTGGGGATGAGTTTTGCCTCCCCACAGTGTCGCTGCCGCCGCCGCCGCCAGCAGACTCGAAATACGCCGTTTCCGTCCGCACGTCGTCGTCGCCGATAAAACCGTCCGGTTTCGTCACGTTCGAGTACTCTCGTCACCGAAAGCGGGGCGGCCGTTACAAAAGCGACTACACATGGGCTATGAAAAAACATTGCAAACAACTGGAGAAACGTATCGAAGACCAACGGCGTGGTGTGGAGTGCGTCCCCAAAAGGCGCCCGTCCAAATGTTCTTCCAAAACCGGTGGCATTTTGAAAAACGAGTCGAGCCCAGAATTATCGCGACCCTCGTGCCGTCGGTCTCGACAGTATTTTCTGGAACCAATCCGTCGATGGAACTCGTTTCATAATAGCCGGGAACGGAAACCGGCGGCGGCGGCATCAGCGTCCAGTAACCTGCCGTACTTGCAGACCCTGGTTAACCTGCAGAGGGAATCCAGAAGCGCTTGTGCCCGGCTCGCTCATTCTGTGCTGCCTAGAATACAGAGGGGCGCGGACAGTGCACCAGTTCTCACGGAAGTTCACAACTTCAAGTCGTTCGCACCGACCGCCTCTAGTCCTACCCTGACTTCCGGCGGCCCGGCCAAAAAGCAACATTCCAGTCCCAATCTGTTGCTGGTGTACGACCGCCGCACAGGTTTTAGTCCCACGAGTTCGCCCAGGCGATCCGTGAGACGACTCAAGACTCCGCCGTCGNAGGCGATCCGTGAGACGACTCAAGACGCCGCCGTCGTCTTCCCAACAACAGCCGTCGGTTGTTGGGGTTGGCGACGACGCTGTTCCGGTCTCGACATCACGTCTTGCCGCCGACAAATCTGTCAAAGTGCCATTTGCCATTATTGTGGGCGATTCGACGGTGGCCAAAGACGCGGTGGTGCCCCGGATCAGGGCCATCAGAGCAGATTCGATGACAGAAAAGTCGTCTTCACATTTGGCCGTCGACGTGTCACCGCACCGGAGATACTCGTTTTGGTCAGTAAAATTTCTTTGAATTTGCTTAGTGTAAATCGAATGTTTCGAAGGCGATTCAGTGCATTGGTATTGTCGGTCTAAGAAAACTATAGAATTCCTATTTGCCCCTCCTAATTCGGAGAACCCAAGATAACCGACAATATCAGGGGAAGCACGGGAATGGCGCAAAGTTTATTTTACTAATTTCGTTTATTCATTAAAATACAATGAAGATTTGTATAATACAATCTCTTTTCTCTTACTTAGCAACCCCTTCGTTCAATAGAATATGTAATTCGCCATACCAGACGACATCGTCTGAAAGTACATTTTGATGACGCAGTTTATTAGTTAATAGGTCGATAAACTCCTTACTCTTTTGTTTCATGTGTTTTTTTTTTAACATTACACCGTGTACATAATTGGTGTTTACTCGCTAATTAAATTAACAATAGAAATTTTCCGTTTAAATGAAAGCCGTTCGAAATTTTTTAGACATAATTCGAACCGAGTGGCGACACAATCGCGAAAAATACCAAGTGTAAATGTGCAAAAATGAAGAGTTCTTTAGAAACTAAAAAAACATATAACAATAGACTTATCTGTTTGACTAGCCGATAAATGTTTTGTGTTATCTTTGTTGATATTAGAATAGAATCGATTAAAATATATAAGATAAAAAACTTATGACGTTGTCGTAAGTGGCACAGTAAAAAAAGATAATATTATATTCACATCAAAACGTCAAACGGCTCGAGTGGTTTATTACTGCAGTGACTTAGATTAATCATAAAACGTTTTTTTTCTCTCGAATATAATAAAAAAATAATGCAAAACTATACTGTTGTTGTGTACGTCCATTGATCGATATTTCTACGATATTATTGTTGTGATCGGCAAAACGGAATTCTTTGGGGAAAAAAAAAAATTCTCGTATGAATAATCTCACTTGCCTAGAGCCCTTAGCGGCGATATTAAAATAAATAATATCATGTAAAAACGTTTGCACGTGTCATGAACGCGATGCTGTGTTGACAGCATAACACAGAAAAAGTGCACAATATCACAATGTCGGCCTCAGTACATGTTCTCTAAAAAGATAACGTCTATGGGCACGTCGCATCTTACGCGCAAGACTTAGACAGCTATTAATTTTTTCTCCTGATAATGTCGTTTGTCCAGTAAAACAAATTACCTTGTCGGTTTATTCAAAACGTTATCATTGCGTTTGCAAAATTATTATTATTTTTTTAAATCGCTTCTCTACCAATGGCAATCCTCTTACGACTATCCGAAGAAATTCCGTTAGGATTATTGTCCGGAAAAATAACAACAGTGAAATACTTTTCTTCTGTTCAGTCGCGGTGGTTTTTTTTTCGCCCGGTGTATATTGTTATAGTTTGCCTACAGTTATTAACGCGCCGCGTTTTCGGTCCACTAATGACACCAAAGCGTGTACGAGTCGAGAACAACGTGGTGTACGTGCGACAGGTAGAGTCAGTCGGCGGCTGTTAGGTAATAGTCAATACCATCGAGTTTGCATTTGACTCAAGAGACGTGTTCGCAACAAACGGTCCCGTCCGAAATGACCTATTACTGTCCTTTCGAATCCTGTGCACGAGTGAAAAAAATTGTACGTCGGTGCGAGTCTCAACAACAATTTTACTCTGTCAATGGTAACACTAATTTCCAGACCTGTTCTCAGGAATTCGAACCCAATTTATCAGCTGTGCACCCTATGCGGCGGCGTGTAAACGTTTGCCGCGGGACACGATTCCATAATGATTATTAACGAGCGGACAGACAATGTCGTTGGCCGAATATCGATAATTGTCGCAACTGTGAATCGAGAATGTGTCACAACAGGCAGATCGGTACGTGAACACTGTCGCGATGGCCGGCGGTTGCGACCTTGTTTTGCGATCGTACAAAAGTAATTATCGACGACCCATTAGAAGACGGTTGTGTGATTCATTAATAACCGAGCAACGCATCATGTTTCAATAACGAAATGGCCGTTGAAAATTGTACAATCGCATTTTTTATTCATCATAACAAAATCCCATTACGCCATCGACTGTCGTGAGGAGGCCGTACGTTTTTCCGATCGGCAATCGCTAAACTAAACGGTTTTCGTTTTGAATTCCTTTCCAGTCTCGTTGACACTGCACGCCGATGTATGTTTAAGTATCATGCGTTCGTCTATAAAGTTTATATGTAACGGTTGTAAAGCGGAAAATAATTGATCTCGTTGGGCTCTGTGCGTTTGGAGCTCGTGTACGGAATTTGATCGGCAACTAATTTTATACGAGTTATTGAAAGTTTCTAGCGGTTTCTGACACAAATTATGTTGCCAGATACCAGTTTTTACCGCGAACGCAGTTTGTTCACGCCGTTATCTGTCGTGCCATATTTCATCCGTTTATTATTTTTTAATTAATATAGATTGCTCCGATCCATTCTCGTCTATGGTGTATTTTCTTAAATAAATCCACTTGGGCGCTGTAGCTAAATTTTGTTTCGAAAAAATTGTCATGACTGTAAATGCGATTTTTTAATCGAGATTGTTGTACACGTTGTTGTTGAATTTACTAAACGGTATTGTAAATATACTTGCGATTGGTTGTAAACACCACGAAAATCGTACACGATTCGATTGTTTTCACAAATTACTTTGGTAAATGTTCCTCCTACGAGCAATGGCCGTGTAAACACGGATTGAGGGACCGTTAAATGATCATTTTTTCCTGATCATTTGTCCAGTTCCCCTTCATCTGGTCTCCAATCGGATTTAGTCGTGATTGGACTCGTCAAAGGCGTTTCCACGACAAGATGTCGGTGACCGTTGAACGCAAAAATGCCGTTAAACTCGCCAACACGGACTTATCAAATCAAGGCGATCGCGTTTCTCTCAAAAGCGGCGGGGAAGGTTTTTTGTGCGGATTGACAGCGCGTATCGCATAATGAACTTGTTAAAGTTCCATCAGTCATTTGTAATCGTTTATAAAGCTCTGTTTAAGTTCAATTATGTTTAGTCCGGCAACTTTTAGTCGGTCGCTGCGTTTTAGTTTAAGTAGCTATAACATTATTACTTATTCAGTGATCAACTTTGATAGAGTGGTGCACTCCCTCCGTTGCATCTCGGCGATAGCCTTAAATACCGTGATTAAAAGTAACCTCCTCCGCGCGGTCGAGCGGGAGCGGGGGGAGGGGCGAGCCTTTCCAAACTCGGCAGAACTTTGGCAGAGAACGTCCTTAACCGGCGTGTCTCACGTGGAGTACCCGCCAACCCGATAGTCTTTTAAGATCAATTACACTTTTGGGTCACGTTACGCGCTGCGGTTATGAGTTTTTTGTATGCGTCAAGTACGTTTAATCGTGTTGCGCGTATATGTTCATTAGGCGTTTTTTGATTTTTATAAAAAACAATATTTACAAATTCTATTTTGTAAAATTAGCAGCGCACACCGACACACTCGACCTAGAAGTTGTGACCGTGACGTTTTATCGCGAACAAATAACTCGACCAAGGAAAATATGATTTGTTTTCGGTTTCGCACGTCAACGCTTTGAAGTATTTGCAGATACGAAAATTGTGTTTAAATAGAAACACGAACACGCCGACAATTCGGTCATATTTTGTTGTCGCCAATCGATAGAGACCAGCGAGCGTTTGGAATTGTTGTAGTATTGTTCGATTAAAAAAAAATAATAAAAAAAAAAACCTGTTACGCACGTCGGTGTGTACATAATTTAGTTTTCGGTACACCGGACCGTTACTTTTATTGCAGGTACACAAAATGATTAATTATTTACTGGAACGACGGCACATTCTTCGGGGAGGTTTGAAAATCGATGCGTTCGCCGTTTATGAATGCAAATTATTTCCACGTACACGTTTAGTACAGTAATGAGTATTACGGTGTGAGCCACAACGGGCCCCCTCCGACACAAGGGGTGGGCACTGACACGGACGCGGAACGTCGTGTCATGAATATTACCGTTTAAATGTAATATTAGTCCACCCACAACACGAGAAAAACGTATCGTAACGTTTTCAAAGTTGATCGTGTTGTGTAATCGATCGATTATTGCAACAGTTATTGAGTGTGTACTAACGGCCAATTTAAAATCGAGAAACGGGTTTGACCGTTTTTCTCTCATTTTTATCTCTCGCCTGTTTATCGCCGTTGGAAATAATTATTTCGAGGTTGGTGGAATCGATTTGCTTTCGAGTGTTTTTTACTCATATTAGATGACCCCGACGGGGTCAAGACGATTGCGGTCGTGTCTTGTATGATATGATGCTGCTACAACAGTTACCCGCAGCATTTTTAGTAAACGGCAGCTTTTATTTCAGTTTCCTCCGTTTTCATCGCCTTCCACTCTCGCCCCTCTCCACGAATACACTAGTTTAATGGCCGTCGGATTAACGGAAAGGCGGCGGCGGCGGCACACGCACATGACTTTCGTGTTTATCAAATACCGGCGTATGGTTATATTTTTATTTCGACTTGAAATTATTTTATGAAACGACTACATACAAACGTAGTTTTTTATTGCGAAATGTGCCGTCGTCGACGAGAGCGCAGTCGGAGGTAGAGGCGTCGTCGCATACCCTTTAGCTCTCTTCGCATTGTGCGTGTGTGTGCCTTTAAATGTTTGTACAACCCGTGACCCGAAAATTTAGATCTCCGTCACTGTATTTCGGTCCCTCCCGGCCGGCAGCCGCGTGTCCGCACGGTCTCAGTTCGCCATAGGCCAGTGCGTCTTTACCGTATTCGTACCGGGCGAAGTGACATAATTGAGTTGAAATCCCTGTCGACTGGGCAAACTCGGCGTTTTCTATACGATATGACCTGCTGTGGTGTGCCTCGAACGTCAGGTAGACACGTTATTTGACATCGGTTTTTATTTTATTTGCGGCTGAAGGTACAACACGGGACGGTGGTAGAAAAAGAGGGGGAAAAAAACGAGAGTCGACTGTCAGTTTTTAGAGGGCTTAGTTTCATCTTGTCTCCCTCCTTTAAAAACATCAACGCGACTTATGACGGCTAAACAATTTAAATGAGCGAACGATTTTTAGGCGGCCGGGTGTATGAATTTACTCGCTATTGTTAGCGTTACATTTAATTTAACATAAATTGGATAAATTATGGAGCTCGCGACCAATACTCGTTATACATGTCGGGGCGGTAGACGATTAGGTTCAAGTTTACACTTAGAATATTAATTAAAACGATGTTTTGTAATAATGATGTTGTTATTTTGTTTCAGTTTTGGAAAACGAACCGGAGGCAGCGCTAGGCGGCCTAACGAATGCTTCGTGTTGGAGCCTTCGGAAATGTTGGTGGTAAGTGTTTTTTTTTTTTTTTTTAGAAAAATGTCGAGTAAAAGCAATTGTACGTGTAGGTAGAACATTTCGAGCAGAGCGCATCATTACTGTAGGAACGCTGTTATCTTCTTTGTTCGCGTCCTTTTTTGTTGTTGTTGTCGGCTTTTTCCCCTTGAAAAATATAACGTAACTTATAATTTGACCGGTAGTGCATCAGGGAATTCTTTTTGTACTGGTACTATTGGCTGTAGACCGTAATCGAGAAAATGTCGATTTTGCGCTCTATCAATTATTTTTAACAATGTTTACTGTTAAAAACACTCTTTAGAAAACTGAAAATAGCATTAAAAAATAAAATAAAACGGGTGTCCCGACCAACTATAAAATTGCGAATATTTTCGAGCCGCGTTAAAGTTATACTTGCTCGAGTTAACTTGGAAAATCGCTGGTAGTGTATAAAATAAGATCATAAAACGTATTTGCTGTGCTCTTCTATGTGTCTCGCTTTTGCTGTTACCATTCCGTGTCGGATTTTATCGCTGTTTATGGTTGAATGATCTCTGCTCGTAGAACATTGGTTGGCGTTTTTTTTTTATTCCATTCTTGGTTTTTGAACTCCACACGCGCGGGTATGATGACAAAAAAAAAAAAAGATAGCAACACAAATATCGGTCTCGCTGTTGATGGTTTTTCAAAGAATGTTATGTCTCCCTACGACATCATAAGGATCTCGATTCTGAGGTGTTACATCGAGATATGTCACCGGAGATATTATCTTTGGTGAGCTTTAGGCCTTTGAGAGTCTTTTGAATCGCGTTATTGCTATTTCTCGAGTGCTCATTTTACGCCCATTGACCATCGATATTTGTGATAACGTTTCGTTTTCATTTGTTATTATTTCATTACTCTAAAAGCGTGTTCGTATTGTTTTAAGCAAACAACTGGCGTTTGGAATAAAGCCACTGGCGCGTTCAATAACTCTGAACCCTTTGTAGCCTTAGAAATAAAATCGCGCATTGGTCCGTTTTTTATTTTGATTATTTCAACCTTCAACTGGTGTCCCTTTTCATTGTTGGCTCGCATTGTTACAAATGATGATAATTATTACGACCATCGTCGTGTAAGTAATTAAATTAACATGCCAAGTTGAGTAATTTTATTGTACTTTGGCGTTTCGTTGTAATGAAGCATTATATTTTTATGGGTCTCGAATAATTGATNTTGTAATGAAGCATAATGTTTTTATGGGTCTCGAATAATTGATATTTAATCGATAAAATGTTTGACGTTTATCTTTAAATGTCCATTATACTCTTATTCTGCCTACTCGGTTAATTTAAATTATAATGATAGTCTGTTTATTCTCACGAACTGATCATTTCGTCGGATATACAATGTACAATGTATAATGCAAATTATCTGCTAAAAAATATGAAAGGTATTGTTAAACGCGGTTCGTTTGCGTGCAATCATAAGATAAAATAAGTGTAATCGTTATTTTTATAACAATTACATTTATGTGTTTGTTCTCCGGCAGTACAGAATGTTATGAAAAGGGCATAGGTCTTGTGCGTTATAGATGAGTAATTTCTTTATTGTTAGCTGGTGGACTTGGGCGATTCTAAATTTTTAATTTCAATTATTATTCACTCTACAATGGTTTATTACACCAAGTTTATATTAAACTCTAATAATTTATTACTAAACTTTATAACGCCTACGAAAAACAAACTGACCTTTATTTTTTTTTACTGAGCAATGAAAAACATTAAATTTGTTCGTCAAACATCAATCTTAACTGCCCTTATAATTTAAAGATACAAAAAAAAAAAAAAGAATTATAAACATTGGATTTTTAATTGTGTTTTATAGAATCGTATTCTTAGCAGTATTAAATAGATATTTTATTCGCGTTAAAAATAAAAACAGTAAATCGAACGTTATTATAATGAAAAAAAATTACATACCCTGGAAGCTTATAAAATATATATTTATATTTTTTTTAGTAAAAATACTTTTGACATTTCCACGAAAACGTTATTATAATCTATACTCAAGCAAAATTAATTGAAATAGTATTTATTTAATATTCACCCCATTGGTTACGTTAAAGAGGCATACTAAAATTATCAACGTTACTGTAAATTGAAATTTCAAAAAAAAATAACAAATCGGTTAAGTCCAGGTATTAAATGTCATTTTATAATGATCTACAAAGTACACCTAACTGACAGTTTTTAATTAAAAAAAAAAAACGTTTTCTATAGTGTTGTCTATTTAGCTGAGATTTTAACGAAAACACAAACCAACTGTCATTAAAAGTTTTTCCGTTTTGTTATTATCAAACTTGATTACGTATTAGAAGATAAATGTTTTCTTATTTTTCAATTTCGGTTTATTTTTGTGAAAACTTGTAAGACTTATAAACTTTGTTGACATAAGCCGATCGAGATTTGTCGTGTCTTGTTGTGATGTCCAGGAAGTCGAGACTGATGCTTTTTGGAGGGATGACCTATTTACAATAATATTATTCTTCTTAGTTCATTTGAATCAAACGCCGCTTTCGTTATTTTTGTTTGTTGATTTTCGCTTGCTCGTCGAAAAATAAACTTTTTCTCGGAAAAAAGGAGAAAAATATCTCCATAATTTAAGGCCATGAAAAAAACAATGTTGGAATTACAAAAATCTTTGTCGTCGCAAGACTTGTACCGAACGCGTGAAAACATATTTTCAAATAGATGACTCACGCCGTCAACATCAACTATTAAAATTTTCTATTATGATAATATACATGTATGTGTTTATTTATAATGTGTGTGATTTGTGTAATGGAACACATTTGTGTGTGATTCATGTACGACAGTATGAAGTCAGTAGGACTTCCGCTATGAAGCTAAACAACAAATTTTACCTTAAAAAAATAAAATATTATGATTGTTAATGACGGGAAACGGAGCGTAGAGATGAAAAACGGCCTAGGAAAGAGCGGTAGAAGGGCAAAGAGCGTTGATCCAGTCGCCGTCGTCGCGATCAGCTGTTTTCGTAGTCCATCGTCATTTTTTATTGTTTGAATATAATAATTATTATTCATGTCAACGACTCCTCGTTTTTCTCTTCTCAGTCGATTCAATGACACGAACGATTTTTCAACCAAGCTCGTGTATCTCGTATTACACACACACACACACATACCATTAGTATTATTATTTTTATTGTTTGAATTGATGTACACTATTATAGGGACACTTGTTCTCTTTTCTTCCGACCGGACGACCATGCGGGTGGGTACACACTGTATAATCTCCGTACGATATTTCCATTATGGTGTGCTCTCTTCGGTATTGTTCCGACGGGTGTAATGCGGTCGAGTAATGTGCATCGTTTTATAGACATTCTCCAATATCGCCGACAGCTGCTTGTGGTGTTGGTCGGATGACGGTAATTTCTTTTTTTTTATACTTTCTCGTATAGTTCGACAAAGTGCGGCTAGTGCTCGTGTGCGTACGTTTGCCGAGAAAATTCGGCGACCGAAGTGTTCGGTTGGGGTGGTACGTTTTCGATTTCAGAACTAAAACGGGTAAAAAAAAAAAGTTTTCTTGATGTCGGCGATTTTCTTCCGAGCGCGTTTTCTTTATTTTCGATAGTCAATCGCCTTTGAATCAGTGACAGAAAAAAAAAATTATTTCCTCCTTACGTCACTTTATTGTCTCTAAGTGGTCTACACCCCCTCCTCCGATATTTATTAAATATATATATATATATAAATACAAGAGAGAAGGTTAAGCACAATATTGATCCAACAACGGAGAAGAACGAACCACCACAAAGCTGTGTAACGGCAGACACCCACGCATTGCGCTCATTTATACCGAAGCCCACCGCCGCCTCAGCCAGTTACCAACCACCCGGCACGACCGACGTCACTTGCCTTTTTCTGCCTTTCCTCATTCATCTGCCCCCTCCCTCCGATATCATTTCCTCGTGGTTTCTGTGCGTCAATGTTTTTTTCTTGTTATATACACGATTGCTCCTACCGTGGTCATTTATCTTGCATCCGCTTGATCCCTTACTTCAGTTCAGTCACCCGTGTTGTATTCTATTTTGTTTTTAACATTATGATATTAAATAAGTAATAACAACAATATTATGAACCCGACCGCCAGTAGTGTTGATTATGTAGAAGCAGTTTAAGGGTCCTGACGCAACAGGAGAGACGATTGCTTTCACTGCCAAGCGCCCCACAGTAATTGTTTTTTTGAACTTTTTTTCATCTCGTTTAAGGCCATTAAGACTCGCCGGTCGGTTCGGTAAACATTCATTAAACGTCCAATGAATCAATGATCGAAATCCATTGAACGAATAATTGGTATTCGGTACAAAGAAAAAAACAACATATTTCATTCGCTATTGTATTAAATTTTATCCCTTTTCACCGCCGTACACATTATTTAAAGTACTCTATAAATCAAATTTTAAACCGAAAGAGTGCATTAAATAATACTACAAGCTCACTGAAAGTTTTTAACGACCATTTTTATATGCTAACCCTATTTTTATGTACATGATTATAAAATCGAAAAAAACATACGTTCCATTGAATATTTAAATTCAAGTTTCGGACTAGAAAATAGATTGAATCTATCAAAGTCAAGGTATTTTACAAATTTTATAACCGCTGCGAGATAGTTTTTAAATGTGTTTTTATTATTAAAACTCAATGCATAATCGTATTGGTTTTTTATTAAGACGAAAAATGTACATTTTTCCGGCCGCTGCATATTCTAATAATCAATTATTTAGGTTTACACGTAAAAAAAATGTATTCTAAATAACAAAGAACAATAAAATTATTATAATGCGGTCGTGGAAACCGGACCGGACGGTTAAAATTACACTTCTTATTGATATATTAAATTATTTCTGCGTTCAGTGAATTCAATATCGTAATTAAAATAATTAGACGACTCGGATTTATACCCTTACAGCCGCGCCTCGCGTACAAACCACAGTATTGATAAATAATTTAGGCACTCGGTTGTGAACTCAGATAAACCCACACTACAGTGCAATTGAACTATTATTGTATTTTATTTATCATACATCACAGGAACGCGAAATAACAGGCAACGTTCGAATACAATATGTAATGTACAGTACACTGGATGCGTGTGTGGAAATGTGGGCTGAATTCCATGGTCTGGTCGTTCATTGTTATTGCTTAACGAGACATTGTGGTGTATGGTGTATACACGCATTGTGTAAATATTTCAATTTGAAGTAAAGCAAAATTAATAAGATTTTATTTCATTTATTCGTTAGTTTGATGGCGGTTCATCACGCACGGTGCAGAATAAAATTAATAGTAAAACTTTTTAATTGTGCAGGAATTTCTAATGAAGAAACTCTCGAGTCGGATGAACTTTTACGTTTGATTGAGACGTCTAATTATTTTTGCTCGACAAATTTTCAAATAATTTTACCAGTATATTATATGCCGCGTTCGTCATAGCGTTGTGTTGTTTTTATCGTAGCTTTTATGAGCACTCCATTAAAGTGTGCACTTACTGCTCCTAATTGATTTCTTTCTAGACAGTTTAAAACATTAAGCATGTAAACACTGCAAAAAAAAAAAAAANGCTCCTAATTGATTTCTTTCTAGACAGTTTAAAACATTAAGTATGTAAACACTGCGAAAAAAAAAAAAGTCGAGCACTTTTTACTCTACTGCCGAAGGAATTCTGTCCATTTTCTGTTGATTAAATATTGATCCGAGTAAGATTAACTCGTAGGAAATAAGCAAGTACTATTATTACTTAAAGACTCGTTTTAATGCAAGAGAAATAGCAAAGTAACAAATAACACCGGTGGGCGTTTTTGGTATTCAGTTTTAGACACCACAAGTGTAAGTAAAAGTGTATCCCTTTGGCGATTACATCTACATTAAGTAAAAGCTCACCGACCTTTGACATGCCACATTAAACAGGAGCGCTAATATAAGTAACAAAATTCACTCAAAGTCGTGGCATTTCACATTGGACTAAAATTTTACGTATGAATTTATAAGGCCTCACAAATAGCGCTAGTTTTTTTTTAAATAGAACGTTTTGTATTCAAATTAATGGCTGTAAAATTTAGTTGTACCGTCGTTGTAATTGTGTTCTGCTGTCACAACGCCATAAAAAAAACGTGGCCTCCGTCTGTTGGCTGACACGGGAAAAAATTTGCGATTCCGTTCAGCATCAAAGATTTCAACGCTAATTCAGTCATATTATCGGACAATATTATTTAGAGAGTTCTAAAAATAGTGAAAATAATTAAAAATCTAGAGCATTTCAACGTATGATACGTACATCCCCATTCGGTATTTTATCGTTTATGTTTAATGTAGCGAATGATTGACATTAGGCGGTTAGTCGTGTCTGTACTATATGTTGGCAATTTCATTAGTTTTCCTCCAATTGTGGTGATTGTCAACCGAGCGAAGTCTGTTGAGAAATTCACATCAAACACTCTTTAGACGTTCAACTTTTTTAAGATTGCGATCGTCGAAACATTCTGTAGTAATTTGGTTGCATGTGTTTGCGCGAACCGTATTCTTAACCGTTTGCGAAAGGACGAACAGAATGCTGCACAATATTCAGCCGTCTACTATACCCGTAGCTAATTACCTTTTTTAGCGTTCCAATTGACTACAGCGCTGTTGACGACGAATTACCTCGCACAATATCCTATTTTAATTAATTATTGTCCGGTATCAACTGTCGACAAAACAACTCCTACAGCACCACTAAGTCACACGTTTAATGGACTTTATACGGTAGTGATGTGCTCACCGATAAGTACAACACCCTCATGAGATGGAGTACTCGCGGAAGGCCTTCCGTTGGCGGCGAGTACGGATTTAGTTTTGGACGGAATACAATAAAGTTTTAGAATCACCGACAACAAAACCTTTCTGGTTATTTATTCACGGGGTTTTTGAGCGCCCTAGTTCGTACTTGGAAGCGACGCGGCTGTTTCATTATAATAGATTAAATGTTATGTATATAGGTCGTTACACTAAGTACATAGATATTCTATTGTAGCGTTTGAGGATAATAATGTTCGAGTTCTGCTCTCTATAGGCAACGCCTCGCATTCAGCGCGCTTTACGCTTGAATGTTTAGGCTACGGTTGTTGTGCCGATGGAAACTTTCATAAAAATTGGGTTTCCAAATTCGATTGAATCGCATTTTGTCAGAAATACAATTAAGTTGCAATTCGTTTCGATCGTGTGACCGGATGTCGACCATTATAATATATGTATAATATGCGCTGTACAGGGCGTATGCGCATTTGTTGTGCTCTTCATGAGTTGACACGAAGTGCACAACAAATACAATGCCGCCGCAACGTGTATTGAATGTGTGTGTCTGTATGGAACGCTGCAGTTTGTCCTTGTCCATCATTTGCGTGCCTGTCGTTTTCCAGAAACAGAAATTAAATGTCGTTGTTTTGCCAGCGCAGTTTTATTAACACACGAGTCTGATGTGTAAACTTTGGTCGGAATCGTGCAAGTGAAATGCATCATCGATGGTCGGCATTCATCCCGTCGACGTTGTCGTAGTGCTTCCGGGTCACATTTTGCGTTGTATTTTCGTACCTTTTTGTTTAGTCTTCGAAATTGAGCAGTCAAAACCCATGACTAATTATATTGTGTTTTAGATGGATTATGCAGACTCCCAAAGCGGTTTACGCTCAGTGAGTGCTTCCGTCCCTCGGTACACCGGTATGGAACGTGGCGGAGCTATCAATCTTGTATTCGACGACAGCGTAAGTGTTAAATCCATCTTCATTATAATGCATAGTGTATGAATTTGTGTGTGCGGTTCGCTTGATTAAACGGACGTATCANGTCGTCGCGATCAGCTGTTTTCGTAGTCCATCGTCATTTTTTATTGTTTGAATATAATAATTATTATTCATGTCAACGACTCCTCGTTTTTCTCTTCTCAGTCGATTCAATGACACGAACGATTTTTCAACCAAGCTCGTGTATCTCGTATTACACACACACACACACATACCATTAGTATTATTATTTTTATTGTTTGAATTGATGTACACTATTATAGGGACACTTGTTCTCTTTTCTTCCTACAGGACGACCATGCGGGTGGGTACACTCTGTATAATCTCCGTACGATATTTCCATTATGGTGTGCTCTCTTCGGTATTGTTCCGACGGGTGTAATGCGGTCGAGTAATGTGCATCGTTTTATAGACATTCTCCAATATCGCCGACAGCTGCTTGTGGTGTTGGTCGGATGACGGTAATTTCTTTTTTTTTATACTTTCTTCCCATATAGTTCGACAAAGTGCGGCTAGTGCTCGTGTGCGTACGTTTGCCGAGAAAATTCGGCGACCGAAGTGTTCGGTTGGGGTACTACGTTTTCGATTTCAGAACTAAAACGGGTAAAAAAAAAAAGTTTTCTTGATGTCGGCGATTTTCTTCCGAGCGCGTTTTCTTTATTTTCGATAGTCAATCGCCTTTGAATCAGTGACAGAAAAAAAAAATTATTTCCTCCTTACGTCACTTTATTGTCTCTAAGTGGTCTACACCCCCTCCTCCGATATTTATTAAATATATATATATATATATAAATACAAGAGAGAAGGTTAAGCACAATATTGATCCAACAACGGAGAAGAACGAACCACCACAAAGCTGTGTAACGGCAGACACCCACGCATTGCGCTCATTTATACCGAAGCCCACCGCCGCCTCAGCCAGTTACCAACCACCCGGCACGACCGACGTCACTTGCCTTTTTCTGCCTTTCCTCATTCATTTGCCCCCTCCCTCCAATATCATTTCCTCGTGGTTTCTGTGCGTCAATGTTTTTTTCTTGTTATATACACGATTGCTCTTACCGTGGTCATTTATCTTGCATCCGCTTGATCCCTTACTTCAGTTCAGTCACCCGTGTTGTATTCTATTTTGTTTTTAACATTATGATATTAAATAAGTAATAATAACAATATTATGAACCCGACCGCCAGTAGTGTTGATTATGTAGAAGCAGTTTAAGGGTCCTGACGCAACAGGAGAGATGATTGCTTTCACTGCCAAGCGCCCCACAGTAATTGTTTTTTTGAACTTTTTTTCATCTCGTTTAAGGCCATTAAGACTCGCCGGTCGGTTCGGTAAACATTCATTAAACGTCCAATGAATCAATGATCGAAATCCATTGAACGAATAATTGGTATTCGGTACAAAGAAAAAAACAACATATTTCATTCGCTATTGTATTAAATTTTATCCCTTTTCACCGCTGTACACATCATTTAAAGTACTCTATAAATCAAATTTTAAACCGAAAGAGTGCATTAAATAATACTACAAGCTCACTGAAAGTTTTTAACGACCATTTTTATATGCTAACCCTATTTTTATGTACATGATTATAAAATCGAAAAAAACATACGTTCCATTGAATATTTAAATTCAAGTTTCGGACTAGAAAATAGATTGAATCTATCAAAGTCAAGGTATTTTACAAATTTTATAACCGCTGCGAGATAGTTTTTAAATGTGTTTTTATTATTAAAACTCAATGCATAATCGTATTGGTTTTTTATTAAGACGAAAAATGTACATTTTTCCGGCCGCTGCATATTCTAATAATCAATTATTTAGGTTTACACGTAAAAAAAATGTATTCTAAATAACAAAGAACAATAAAATTATTATAATGCGGTCGTGGAAACCGGACCGGACGGTTAAAATTACACTTCTTATTGATATATTAAATTATTTCTGCGTTCAGTGAATTCAATATCGTAATTAAAATAATTAGACGACTCGGATTTATACCCTTACAGCCGCGCCTCGCGTACAAACCACAGTATTGATAAATAATTTAGGCACTCGGTTGTGAACTCAGATAAACCCACACTACAGTGCAATTGAACTATTATTGTATTTTATTTATCATACATCACAGGAACGCGAAATAACAGGCAACGTTCGAATACAATATGTAATGTACAGTACACTGGATGCGTGTGTGGAAATGTGGGCTGAATTCCATGGTCTGGTCGTTCATTGTTATTGCTTAACGAGACATTGTGGTGTATGGTGTATACACGCATTGTGTAAATATTTCAATTTGAAGTAAAGCAAAATTAATAAGATTTTATTTCATTTATTCGTTAGTTTGATGGCGGTTCATCACGCACGGTGCAGAATAAAATTAATAGTAAAACTTTTTAATTGTGCAGGAATTTCTAATGAAGAAACTCTCGAGTCGGATGAACTTTTACGTTTGATTGAGACGTCTAATTATTTTTGCTCGACAAATTTTCAAATAATTTTACCAGTATATTATATGCCGCGTTCGTCATAGCGTTGTGTTGTTTTTATCGTAGCTTTTATGAGCACTCCATTAAAGTGTGCACTTACTGCTCCTAATTGATTTCTTTCTAGACAGTTTAAAACATTAAGCATGTAAACACTGCAAAAAAAAAAAAAAAAAAAAAATCGAGCACTTTTTACTCTACTGCCGAAGGAGTTCTATCCATTTTCTGTTGATTAAATATTGATCCGAGTAAGATTAACTCGTAGGAAATAAGCAAGTATTATTATTACTTAAAGACTCGTTTTAAAGCAAGAGAAATAGCAAAGTAACAAATAACACCGGTGGGCGTTTTTGGTATTCAGTTTTAGACACCACAAGTGTAAGTAAAAGTGTATCCCTTTGGCGATTACATCTACATTAAGTAAAAGCTCACCGACCTTTGACATGCCACATTAAACAGGAGCGCTAATATAAGTAACAAAATTCACTCAAAGTCGTGGCATTTCACATTGGACTAAAATTTTACGTATGAATTTATAAGGCCTCACAAATAGCGCTAGTTTTTTTTTAAATAGAACGTTTTGTATTCAAATTAATGGCTGTAAAATTTAGTTGTACCGTCGTTGTAATTGTGTTCTGCTGTCACAACGCCATAAAAAAAACGTGGCCTCCGTCTGTTGGCTGACACGGGAAAAAATTTGCGATTCCGTTCAGCATCAAAGATTTAAACGCTAATTCAGTGATATTATCGGACAATATTATTTAGAGAGTTCTAAAAATAGTGAAAATAATTAAAAATCTAGAGCATTTCAACGTATGATACGTACATCCCCATTCGGTATTTTATCGTTTATGTTTAATGTAGCGAATGATTGACATTCGGCGGTTAGTCGTGTCTGTGCTATATGTTGGCAATTTCATTTTGTTTTCCTCCAATTGTGATTGTCAACCGAGCGAAGTCTGTTGATAAATTCACATCAGACACTCTTTAGACGTTCAACTTTTTAAGATTATGATCGTCGAAACATTCTGTAGTAATTTGGGGTTGCGCGAACCGTATTCTTAACCGTGTGCGAAAGGACGAACAGAATGCTGCACAATATTCAGCCGTCTATACCCGTAGCTAATTACCTTTTTTAGCGTTCCAATTGACTACAGCGCTGTTGACGACGAATTACCTCGCACAATATCCTATTTTAATTTATTATTGTCCGGTATCAACTGTCGACAACAGCTCCTACAGTATCACTAAGTCACACGTTTTATGGAATTTATACGGTAGTGATGTGCTCACCGATAAGTACAACACCCTCATTGATGGAGTACTCGCGGAAGGCCTTCCGTTGGCGGCGAGTACGGATTTAGTTTTGGACGGAATACAATAAAGTTTTAGAATCGCCAACGACAAAACCTTTCTGGTTATTTATTCACGGGGTTTTTGAGCGCCCTAGTTCGTACTTGGAAGCGACGCGGCTGTTTCATTATAATAGATTAAATGTTATGTATATAGGTCGTTACACTAAGTACATAGATATTCTATTGTAGCGTTTGAGGATAATAATGTTCGAGTTCTGCTCTCTATAGGCAACGCCTCGCATTCAGCGCGCTTTACGCTTGAATGTTTAGGCTACGGTTGTTGTGCCGATGGAAACTTTCATAAAAATTGGGTTTCCAAATTCGATCGAATCGTATTTTGTCAGAAATACAATTAAGTTGCAATTCGTTTCGATCGTGTGACCGGATGTCGACCATTATAATATATGTATAATATGCGCTGTACAGGGCGTATGCGCGTTTGTTGTTGTGCTCTTCGTGTCAACTCATGAAGAGCACAACAAATACAATGCCGCCGCAACGTGTATTGTATGCGTGTGTCTGTATGGAACGCTGCAGTTTGTCCTTGTCCATCATTTGCGCGCCTGTCGTTTTCCAGAAACAGAAATTAAATGTCGTTGTTTTGCCAGCACAGTTTTATTAGCACACGAGTCTGATGTGTAAACTTTGGTCGGAATCGTGCAAGTGAAATGCATCATCGATGGTCGGCATTTATCCCGTCGACGTTGTCGTAGTGCTTCCGGGTCACATTTTGCGTTGTATTTTCGTACCTTTTTGTTTAGTCTTCGAAATTGAGCAGTCAAAACCCATGACTAATTATATTGTGTTTTAGATGGATTATGCAGACTCCCAAAGCGGTTTACGCTCAGTGAGTGCTTCCGTCCCTCGGTACACCGGTATGGAACGTGGCGGAGCTATCAATCTTGTATTCGACGACAGCGTAAGTGTTAAATCCATCTTCATTATAATGCATAGTGTATGAATTTGTGTGTGCGGTTCGCTTGATTAAACGGACGTATCGACACAAAAGTTCACGAGTTTCGGATGGGAAAAAGAATAATCCGCTTGTTTTTTCAATCAGGCATTACGCCTGATTGAATCCATTACGGATTCCTTTTGAATTCTGATGTAAATTCT